CTTGCATCTGTCCTGAATCGTCTGTTCTTCCTCAGAAGGTGGGCATGGGAAAAGCAACCAGGGGTTCCCCCCGCTGCTTCAAGCAGGTCTGAAATACATGCAGAACTGTCCCTAGTCATGGATGAAATCATATCAGTCACGAAGAAATGGTGAAAGTTGGCAACACTGAAATTAGATCAGCAAAAAAATCTGTGTTTTAATCATTTGAATGTTACCAGTAACACAGGGGAGAACATTGTAACAAATGAGCTGCATGTTTGCAGCCACTAAGCCTGGAGCAGTTCAGGCAACTGGGGTGATGCAAGGTGGTGTTTGCCAAGGGCTCAGGATGTTTTGCATCCAATTGTATGCAATTTTAAAAAACAAAGTGTGACAAAGTTAGCTCATGATATGTTAATCTTAAACAGAAGTTATGGGCTTGATGCTGAAATTAATGGGTGTGGTTCTTTGGAAGGGGGTCAGATTAGATGATCATAATATGGTCATTGCTTCTGGCCTTAAAAAATACTGAACAGTTTTAAATAAAATTGACTTTTGTTTCACCTATTGTTGTTTGTTTTATTATCTTTTTCCTAGTCTACCTGGAAACTTTCCATACCCTTCCCTCCCCTCCTAATAGTTTTTCATGTACCCAGGCCCCTGAGATTTCCTAGTCCTTCCCTTCTCATCCTTCTGCAGGAAAGGGAAGAGGACTGTATCCTTGGAGCCTTCTCAAGTACTAATGTTTAAAGCCTTCAGCTTGCCTTAGGAACTGAGACTTGGGAGGCCTGGTTTGTATTCCCACCTCTGAAATGGACATTGCTTTGTGACTTTGAAACCTTTTGGGGCCACATTCTCTCCATGAGTAAAATGAGGAAAAGGACACTTTCCTTTCCTGCAAATTTTGACTCATTAAAATTAAGATAAAAGCACTCAGCTTGTTTTTGGATAACCTTCAGATGCCTTGTCCAATCTGAATTCAGATCTGTACTTTTATAAGAAAATACTGGGTCAGACCAATGGTCCAATGTCCTAAGTATCTTGTCTTCCAACAGTGGCTGAAGACAGATGCTGAAGAGGGAATAAAAAGAACATTCTGTCCTAGCTTCTAGCACTCAGAGATGTAGTGATACACAGAGCATACAGTTTCATCCCCAAACATCTTAACTAATAGCCATTGATGGACCTATTCTTTAGGGGCATATCTAATTTTTTTGTGTTGACCAGCACTGATCGTAGTACATATCCTCGGTAGACCCTGTTATTTACCTCTCTCCACTGTGGAAACTAACCATTTAATCCTACCCTTTGTTTCCAGTCTTTTAGATAATTACTAATCCATGAGAGGACTTTCCCTTTTATCCCACAACTGCCTATTTTGCTCAAGAGCCTTTGGTGAGAGACCTTGTCAAAGGTTTTATGGAAGTCCAAGTACACAATATCTACTGGATCACTCGTCCACATGTTTGTTGTCTCCCTCAGCAAATTATAATAGATTGGTGAGGTATGATTTCCTTTTACAAATGACATCTTTATTTCCCCCATATCATATTAATCTCTCTTCTGATAATTCTGTACTTTATTATAGTTTCAATCAATTTTCCTAGTACTGAAGTTAGTCTTCCTGGCTTGTAATTGCTATGACCAACTATGGAGCCTTTTGTTAAAAGCAGCTTTACATTAGTTATTGTTCACCAGTCATCTGGCACAGAGACTAATTTGAGCAATAAGTTACATAGGTTAATAGTTCTGCAGTTTCAATTCTGAGTTTCTCCACAACTTGTGGGTGAGCGCCATCTGGTCATGGTGACCTATTACTATGTAATTTGTCAGTTTGTTCCTAACCTCCTCAGTTGACACCCCAGCCTCAGATACTTCCTCAGATTTGTCCTTAAAAAGAATGGCTCAGGTATGGGAAATCTCCTTCATATCACCTTTCTCCAATTCTGGGATATCTGGATTCAATTTTCCAATTTTCTGGCCCATCTCCAGTATTATTATTGAAGAGGACAGGGCTGTTTTATAATATGTTTGGCTCGTGAGCTGCCCAAATATTAACTAAGAATTGTTGAGAAGTGCCTTCAGGATACAAAAGAAGGTAAATTAACCTTGAGCTCAACATTTATATACATATAAGCATTCTAACTGATGCTTCAATGGCGTTTCTCCAATTCAATTCACCATATGCCTGATATAAAAAGAATTTCAGTGTTCATTAATTCACACTGCACACTCTACAAGCAGCTAATAAAGAGAGAGGGGTGATATCAGCTTGCTTTGCAGCAAAGATTAACATCTTCCAAACGAGACAATGACTGGCACAGGGTTTGGTAACTTCACCCTAAATATTAATTTTTGCATCATTTAAGACAGAGCTCCAAAGAAAGCAACAAAAAATGATCAAAGTTTTTGAAAGTAATGCCTAGAAGTGTTTGGTAGAGAACTGAGCAAACGCATTTGAGATCAAGTCTTAGATATAGTCATGTTTCCAGAAGAGCTCAGGGCCAACTTTTTAAAAACTTAGCACTAATATCCGAGGCCAAATTTTTAGAAGAGATTAGCTCTGACACAAACTCCTAAAAATGGGCTAGATTTTCAGAAGAGATCAGCACCCAGCACACTGAGTTATTTTAAAAACCTGCCCACTAGAGTTTGTGGGCACAGATCTCCTTTGAAAAATCCAGCCCTGATGCTGAACAATTTTGAAATTCTGACCATAATTAATGTCTGCAAATAATAAAAGCACTGTTGATTTCCTTGAGCAGGTCTTTTAAAGAAACACTCAATCTTGATTTAAAAATTGTCAGTCATGGAGAATCAGCCAGGGCCACTGATAAATTGCTCCAATGGTTAATGATTCTCTGTTAAAAATTTACATCTTGTTTCCAGTAGGGATGTTAAAATGCTTGTAATTAAGTAAAATTTCAGAGGTTACACGATTATACGCAGGTGGCAGTCAGCTCATGGGAAGCCGAGCATGTTGGGAACCGACTTTTAAGCCATTTTCATGTAGGTGCCAGCTCCTACCTGCTACCCCGCACTACTGTCTCTGTATCAGAGGGAGCAGTGCAGGGCTCCAGGTGGCTCCCTGCAGGTCTGTGTTTATTGGGAGCCTGTGTGTAACCTTGAACATTAACTGATGAGCCAAGGCTTATCAGTTAGCTGTTTACATGGTTAAACTTTCATATCTCTAATTCCAATCCAACTTCTAGTGGTTGGATCTCATTATACCTTTTTCTGCTAGCCTGAAGTATCCATTATTAAACATTTGTTCCCTATGTCGATACTGAGAGACTGTGATCAAGTCACCCTTTAACTTTCTCATTATTAAACTAAAGCAATTGAGCTCTTGGAGTCTATCACTATAAGGCATGTTTTCTAATCCTTTAATAATTCTTGTAGCCTTTCTCTGAATGCTCTCCAATTTATCAACACCTTTCTTGAATAGTTTACCACAGAACTGGATACAATATTTTAGCAGCAGTTGCATCTGTGCCAAAAACGAGGTAAACTAATCTTTCTTATTCCTATTTGAGACTCCCATTATGTCTTCCAGGATTGCATTAGCCCGTTTGGTCACAGCCTTACACTGAAGCTGATGCTCAGCTGATTTTCCACCACAACTCTTAAATCTTTCTCAGAGTCACGCTTCCCAGGATAGAGTCACCTCATTCAGTGAGTATGGTCTCTGTTCCTAGATGTACACCCTTACATTTAATCACATTAAACTTCACATTGGTTGCTTGAATCTAGCTTAAAAGTTATTCAGATCTCTCTTCATTATTTACAACTTCCCCAATTTCTGTATCATCTGCAGCCTTTATCTGTGATAATTTTATGTTTCTTTCGGGTCATTAATGCAAACGTTAAATTGCATAGGGCCAAGAAATGAATCCTGCAGAACCCCACTAGAAGTGTGCTCATTCAATGATTTACAGTTACATTGACACCTTTCAGTTAGCAAGCTTTTAATCCATTGAATGTGCCATGTTGTTTTTATTTTGTTATAGTTTTTTTAATGTAAATGTCAAACAATAGCAAGACAAAAGGCTTACAAAAATCTACTACATCAACATCATTAATTACCTTTAGCAGCCAAATGAGTAATCTCTTTAAAAAATAGACTTATTCCCAAGGTCATACAGGAAATTTGTGACAGATTAACCTTTACCTTTCACTTTCTTTCTCATGCAGATATGGAATATTTTGATAATGAAGACAAGTGGCTACTTTATAAAGAGTAAATATCTTCAAATAAATGCCTTGTGTTACTTCTTCTGAGAAATAGAGCACTAATAGCAAGAATTTAAAAGTTCTCCCCTTTGCTCATTGAATGAATTACATAGAACAGTGGCAAGATGTGGGGCAGCTAGTCATTTTACTAACAACAGTTACACCTTCATAAATATAGCTAATGTTTAAAATAATGTTTGTCTCTCATTATACATGGTCAAACTTTAATTCTTTTGTGGGATAATTTGCCCAAGACTTGCCAAAGACCAACACAAAATAAATGGCTTCCCTCAGCAAGAGTTCAAATAAACAAACAAATGGAATAAAGCATCTAGCAATTAGGACCTTCAAAATTAAGTACACTTTCTGCTCTCAGAACCTTTCAGTGTTCTTTTATCCAGAAACAGGCTGCTTCCTTTCTGTTCTATTCCTGTAGTATCATCCTCAACCCCATGATACAGAAGTAAATGTAAGAAAGACAGAAAGAAAGACTGAAAAACCCAAGAAATCAGCTTGGTAGTTTGTGGAAACACTCTTGAATCCCGTCCTGTTAACTAGAGACAGGCCTGAGCCAAACACACCTGAACTTTGAGGACATTTGGATATGCATCTAAACTTAATGGCTTGCCTCCATCTATAGCTCCTATAGCATGGTAGATCCAGATGTTGAAGTTTGGTCTGGTTTTGCAGCCAAACTCTGTATCTCAGTTCTGAACAGACCTAAACAAGATAAGTTTGATTGTGACTGGGAAGAACTAGAAACATGTAAAAGGTACTATTTGTCTTACCAGCTGAGTCTGCTGCAGAAGCCCCACCACTGGTCAGGTCCTCAGTATTTATTGACTGCAAATCTGTGTAGGAGGGGGCAATGCTTGGGCTGCTGGTGTCTTCTGAGTTGGTTGTCCAGCTGCTCTCTGAGGTGAGGGGTTGTCTCTCAGAACAATCTGAGGAGGGAGAGGTCCAGCAGGGTGCACTTGATGGAAGGGCTGAATATGGGAAACAAAGAGACACTTAAGTGTCCTGGATGACAAGAGTTACAGGAGGGCAGATCTCTGAAGGAGAGGGGAAACATGAATGACACTAAAGATCTTTGGGATAGAAGAGCATGACAGCCCAATGAGTCATGAGCATAGGGGAAAGGCTTTCTACCAGCACATTATAACTCATTAACCCTTTAACCTCTGCAGAGCCAAGTTCAATTCCTGGTTTAGGTCACAATTGTTAGCCTATATCCCATTTGTTCCCATGGCTTGATAGAACCTTATGCTTATTTTTGAATTGTGTGGGTAATCACACAGTACTAACATCTTCTAAATTCTGACCTATATATTTTGGATGTTGGATAGAACCTGCTCTAAATTTCCTGGAGGCATGTTCCAAGGACATTGTCAAGAATATAGAGGGAGATGCCCTCAGAATACTGCACACTATTTCAGGGAGATAGGCTTCTTCTGAAAGTAGCCTGAAGTCTATACATAGCTGTCATGAGGTATAATGCAGAAATCTGTCAGCCATGTAAATTCTCAGCAATTTGCTTGTATTGCAAGGCAATTGACAAAATTGCCTTGATAATGCACTTTATATTTTATCACACCTAGAGTAATGACAGTACATCATTTCTGCACTCAGCAACTTAGATTTTATTTTTCTGAATGTACATTCTATCTTGGTTTCCCAGTTTCTTAGTAAATTGAGTTGATGAGGTTTAAGGATTCAGTCAGTTCTAATTTCTATGCTATGCTGAATTCAAGATTGATGTTCATGGCAATAATATAGTTAACTGGTTATCTGCTAGATCAGTCCTCTTAAATGTAATTGTTGTGGTTATTTATACAACACATCTCTATGACAAGGTTTGGGTGTGCCTTGCCACTTTTTCATTACCAATTGAATAGGATATGCTAGCTGCATAATGATGAGAAAAAAAAAATCAAATTATCTTTGCTTCTACCAAGGGGAAAAAATAGAATGTGCTTCCTCTTAGAGATTTCCATGGCATTGCATAAAATACACTGATTTTTCTCAGGGGGAAAAATCCACCTGGCCTGGTTGCTGTTGGTCATCTATGGATGGATAAAAAAGGCAAAAAAGTAGTTTAACAGCACAGAGATCACAAGCCATTGCCTCATGCTGTGGCACGGCCAGATTGTTTCAGTAGAAGGTTTCTATTTTCTCACCTCACAAACTTCTCATTCTTGTCTTCAACACTTTTAATGACTCTGCCTGTCTGTACCATGTCTATCCTCTCTGTCTCCTCTCTTTCTCTCCCTTGAGCCTCTTCTGTACCACCAATGATGCTTGTCTCTGTCAATCTCTCTCTGTCCCACTCTGCTTGTCTCTATTCATCTTCCCACTCTCAGACCCGTGCATTGGATCCCTTTCCAGTATGCCAAGCCCACACCATCATTTATTTGGAATATGTTTTATAAATCTGCTTCTTCCTGATAGCCATAAAATGTGAGTTTAATAATATTCTTCAAGTGCCAGTCTTTTAGACAGCAAGCACCCAGGGACAGGGGGTCTCTCTCTCTCTCTCTCTCTGGGTAGACTGAATGGAGCCAAACACATAGTCAGAGCTAAACAAATAAAAATAATATTGCACCCCTGCAAAAATCTGTGAATGAGATACTATTTCCCTTTCCTGTGGTCTGTGTTGTCCTAGCTCTGACAGTTCTTGAAATGCCATTTTCCAAGCAGTTTCAAAACACACTTTCAGCCAGTCAGCTGTGCAGCTGCTCAAGTATAGAAAAAAGATTTAAAAGTTTGTAACAGCACCAAAAAAAACCCCAAACAAAACATGTTCAGAATGCTGAGCCTGCAGGACACTGCTCCCCACCTCGTGGAACGAGGTGTACCAGTAGTTTGGAATAGGAAGCCTAATCCGAACTACCTAGTCCATGCCGCGTGTAGCCGCGGGCACGGAGTCCGAACTAGCGGACATTAAAAAATGGCGGCGCCCGGCAATATGCAAATGAAGCCCGGGAAATTCAAATCCCAGGCTTCATTTGCAACTCCGGTTGCCTACATTAATCACCCTAGTTCGACTAGGGTGGTAGTGTAGACATACCCTTAGAGTGCAGCACATTTTAGTGCTCTACATTTTGCACCCCTCCAATGGGGTGTACCGTGCCATGTAGCCAAGCCCTACATGACTAAGTCTCTTCCTTCCACTTCTGATTATTTAATCAGAAGCTGACAGGAGGAGACACTGCCAAATATACATACTTGGAAAGTGGGGCAGGGAGAAATAGGCCACGTGGGCTAGAACAGCCACACAGCTTTATACTTTGAATAATTCCACTTCACCCTTCAGATGACTGTGTCATTTGATGAGAAGATTGTATATATTCAGAAGGCTAGAAGTCAATGGTGCGATGTCAAATTATACCAGCTAAGAATCTAGCATATAGTCTTTAGATGCAAACTTCAAAAAAACAAAAACAAAAAAACAAAAAACAAAAAACCATCAGCGAGAACTTATGCAGACACACAAAGCTTATTATCTCAAAGTCATGCTTTGTTTCTGCTGCATTGATGCTTCCTAAGACATCAAGCACAGCACTCAGAAGATAGCAGTCAGCACTGATGGAAACTAGCTGGTTTTAGAGATCTGCCAAGAACTGGCATATCATTTACTTCCTCTTTCTACACTAATGGACTGCAAATACGACTGAAATTTTCTCCATCTCCAGAGCCTCTAGATTAGAATCAGGATCATATCTCCACTGCTGAGGAGGCCAAGCCCTCTTTAAAATCAGGTCTGAAAGCATGCCATACCAGACATGCCCAGCATTTCCCTCTCCCTCAGAAAAGCCTATCCCAACACAGCCACACTTTTCTCTGCCTTTCAGACTATACCAATTCAATAGCTGGCATATTAGTACTTGGTGGGGGGGGGAGGGGGAGAAGGGTGAAAGGGTGCAGAAACACAGCGCAGTGGTACAGACTACAGAATTATGGACACAGGCCCATGCCGAGTGGCGGAGATATTATTTGCAGCTCTCACTTTATGCACATGGCAACAGGACCAGCCAGATTCTCACACAGACCTCAGTTCTGCTTCTTCAGATTTGGACAGGGATCTAGCAATAGGTGCAATGGGAAAGTCACCTCTAAAACAAGGGACTAAAATAATTTTGAAGTTCAATTGCCCCAAAGCAGGCACCTTTGCCAATCAAGCTTGCCTGCAAATTGGAGAGAGGGGACAGGAAAAAAGAGAAGACTGTGCTTACAGCCAGGGAATGGCAGAAAGTGGAATATATGTTCCTCCCCACCTTGGGAAGTAGGTAGACAGACTGGGGTGTTTGCAGGAATCGCATCTTGGTGCCCTGTTTATTACTCCTCTGCTAAGCATGATGCTGGCTTCTAGAGAAAATTTGGAGATTTCTGCTTGCAGAGTGGGAGTGGATAAGGCCCCTTACAGGGGGGAAGCAGTGGAGTCTGGTGGGATACGCCGGGGTTGGGGGGAAGATAGGTGACACAGTGCTACTATGCCTGGGGATCACTGCCTGATGGGACAGTTTGAAGTGAAAGCGTCATTTGCTACTCATGCCCAAGTGTCATGTGGTGTGAAGTACAGGCTGCATTACACTGGCAGAGCTATTTTTTTTGGAAACTTGTCCTTATTTTCCACAGGTCTTACCTCTCTGACTCTTACAGCCCTGACATGGGGCATTTCACATGATTATACAACCCTTCTTGAAAGGCCAGAAAATCTCCAACTACTATTAATTGAACTGTTCTATGTTGCCTTCCCCACCCTAACTGGTTTGGTAGAGCAGTGCAAGGCAGCTGGTGGGAGAAAATGTCACATGTCAACTCTTGTATCTTGGATCAGTGTCAGGATGGACAAGTCCTCAATTTGTTGGAACCAGCTCTAGAATAAGGGGCCATTTATACTCCTTTGTCATCAGCATTCCAGGCAGCTAATTAGTCCGTAACAGAGTATAGTGACCTCAATGAGCAGCCCTCTCCCCTTGATACTGCTTAGGAAGGGAACAACTGGCAGAAACAAATCAGCAATTGGAATAATGCATCAGGGAATACAAAGAAAGCATCAGCCCCCGATGAAGGAAAGGATGCACATCTAGGTCACCAGTGTGACTGTAACCAAGAATTGATCAGATAGCTATTTGGTGGCCTACTCTACACGAGCAGAGACCGGTCCTATTCCATTTTCCAGTGGGCTGTTTTGTCACTCCACTTTGTTGGAAGTCTCAGTGGAGAAACCAGAGACTGGATGGACTGTTTACCCTTTCGTCATTCAGTCACTTCCCCCTTCATCTTCGATGCTGCTGTTCATAAATCCACAGGCTAATTTTAGTTCTGACCTATCTTGTCTCAAATAGCTAGTTTCTCTCCCAAAGCTGCTATCAGAAATGTAGTTGATACATAGGGGAAGGGCACAAACTAGTTATTACTTTGTCTGAAATTGTGTTAATATCACCTGGGTTAATCTCAGTTATGACTTGTGCTGTTTCAGCTACAGAGATCGCTGAGGAAAAGGTTAAAAGAAAGTCTATTATTTTTATTTAGCCCCATACTGCCTGCTGCTGTATTACTGTAACAGACCTTTGCATGATGCTCCCCCACCTGTTTGTGTGTGAGCTGGTAAAGTGCTGGTCCACGGCACATCTTCAAAACGAACCCAGGTACTGATAGACAAAGATAGCTCAGATGTGGGACACACATGGTTCCCAAGTAGAGATACTGATGCAGAATCCACCACAGACTTGTCCCCGGCATCACTCAACTCAGTTTGTGAGAGGTCCTGAAACTCTCCACCCACATTACAATTATCTTCCGAGGAGGTGTCGGAGGAGGAAAAACATCTTTCCAGAGGCTCTTTGGTGCCACCTAAAAGTAGGGACAAAACATACAGAAATATCAATATTCTTCACCGGAGATACTGACTAGGTGTGGTTGACTTTGGACTCCTTGCTTGGGTCAACTATGACACTTTAACAAATTTTTTAAAGAATAGTAAACCCTATCTACATCAGTGCTTAAGTAGTGTTTAAAAATTTGTTAGATAACATACTGTTATCTTCCTGCACTAAACAAGGCTGGTGTGCACATGAAAGAGAGGACATAGAATATACAGGTTTCACAGTGAAAATTTGTTGGCTGCCCACTGCAGGCCTTGAAAAAAATAAAGCTCCTGCCATCTGAGCAGCCTTTCTATCTTGTGCCAAGTCATGTCCACATTCATCTGAAAAGCTATCTTCTCTGAAATAACCCTTTATAAATAACATCATAATCATAGAGAAATAAAAAAAATGTTCATTATATTAACATATATAGCAACTCAGACACACGGGGGACCCATTTTTGCAGGAAAGGAATTACATATAATGTTTACTGACAATATTTCTGATTGATGAGAGACAACTCTTGGACTTGAAGGTAGTGTAGCAGTCATTAGTTTATTATTTCCTGCAAAGTCCAGTAGCAGTCTCTGCTAAGTCTCTCACTAAATATAGGTGAACAGCCTCTTCTCCCCCGCCTTTTAATCTCACACCAGGCCTAGTTCTGCCCTTACTTTTAAACATCCTACACGGTCAGTGAGAACTGTGTAACTGAAGCAGAACTGGGTTCTATGAAAGGACATTTATAAAACATTTTTCTTAACATACATCATTTGATATTTTTACCCAGATCCCTCTATTTCGCAGGGGAAGTAGTAAGTAACTTGGCCTCCTTTGTTCACACTCAAAAGGCCGGTCTCATGAGATCAAACCTGTCTCAGTAGAGGGGCCAATTTAATTTTAAAACAGTCTTAAAGGGCTCTTAAGGAATCTGAGGGAACATACCCTGCGAAGTGACTGGCAGGAGCAGCTCATCATTGAAGGAGACCCACTCCGACTGGTGAGAAGCAATGACATTTGCCAATGACGTCATGCTTGGGACAGGCTGCTCATCTTCACCTAATGCTTCTGGGAAAGGCTGAGAGCAGTCAATGCCAGTCCATGGAGAGCAGAGTTAGAATTAGAAATTCTGCAAAGAGCCAAAAAAGAGTGTACTGTAAATTAGTGTATATAACCCACACTCATGTATAACCCGCACCCATGCATAACCCATGGATTATATGTGCTAAAACACGGTAATTAAGTCTCATAATGTAAAAAAAAAAAAAAAAAAGAAATTAATTGAAAACTCCTTCAGTATTTTAATAATAAGAACGGTCATACTGGGTCAGCCCTAAGGTCCATCTAGCCCAGTTTCCTGTCTTCTGACAGTAGCCAATGCCAGATGCCCCAGAGGGAGTGAATAGAACAGAGAATCATCATGTGATCCCTTTCCTGTCATCCATTTCCAGCCTCTGACAAACAGAGGCTAGGGATGCCATTCTTACCCATCCTAGCTATTGATCATTGATGGACCTAACCTCCACGAACTTATCTAGCTCTTTTTCAAACCTTGTTAAAGTCCCAATCTTCACAACATCCTCTGTCAAGGAGTACCACAGGTTGACTGTGCATTTCATGAAGAAAAACTTCCTTTTGTTTGTTTGAAACCTACTGCCTAGTTCTTATGTTATGGGAACAAATAAATAAGTTTTCCTTATTCGCTTTTTCACACCAGTCATGATTTTATAGACCTCTATCATGTCCCTCCTTAGTCTCCTCTTTTCTAAGCTGAAATATCCGAGTTTTTAAAACTCTCTTCATATGAAACCCATTCCACACCCCTAATCATTTTTGTTGCCCTTTTCTGAACCTTTTCCAATGCCAATATATCTTTTTGATATTTGATGACCATATCTATATGCAGTATTCAAGATGTGGGCATACCATGGTTTTATATAGAGGCAATAAGATATTCTCTGTCTTATTCACTATCCCTTCTTTAATGATTCCTAACATTCTATTTGCTTTTTTGACTGCTGCTGCACATTGAGTGGATGTTTTCAGGGAAATATCCACAATGACTCCAAGATCTCTCTCTTGAGTACTTGTAGCTAAATTAGTCCCCATCCTGTCATATGTATATAGGCAGTCCCCGGGTTACGTACAAGATAGGGACTGTAGGTTTGTTCTTAAGTTGAATCTGTATGTAAGTTGGAACTGGCGTCCAGATTCAGCCGCTGCTGAAACTGACCAGCGCTGACTACAGGAAGCCCGAAGCAGAGTTGCTCTGCCCCGGGCTTCCTGGAATCAGCTGCTGATCAGTTTCAGCAGCAGCTGACTTGGGGGCGCCCGGG